AGAGTCTGCTGAGGGAGGTGAAAGTTTGGCTTTCGCGTTCCCGAGGCAGGTGCCGCGTTCGCGAAGGGCTGTGAAGTTGTGCATCGCGTTTGCGAGAAGGCACTCGCGATCGCATAGAGGAAGTTGGGTCAGATGGGTTCAAGGTCATTTGTTGATCGCGTTCGCGTAGGTGTGAGCGCGTTCGCGAAGGTTTAGATGGTAGAAGCATCGCGTTCGCGGTGGGTTTTATGGGTTCGCGTAGAGGAAAAAGTGGTCAATGTAAGTTTGTGCTTCGCGAACACGAGAGTTTGACCGCGTTCGCGAAGAAGGAAAGTGAGACCTGGGCAGAATGTTTTTAACTCGTCTTGTCCGTGATTTTGAGGTTTATTTCCTCCATAGTTGTTCATTTTGGGAGATTTTTGAAGGAGATCGAAGAGGGATTCAAGGAGAAACGTTTGGAGGTAAGATTCTTAGACTAAAAGCTCGATTATTATGTGAATTCCACCTAGAAAATCATCAAAACTAAGCCTAAAATTGAAGAACTAGGGCTTGAGAAATTGGACTTTTTATTTGGGATTTGAAGGACCATTTGAGGTCGGATTTGAAAACTTTTGATATGTATGAACTCAAGAGGAGATAATGAATCTATTGATGTGAAAATTTCTGAATTTCGAGACGTGGGATCGGGGGTCGGGTTTTGGTAATTTCGGAATTTATGCCCTTTATTGATTGTTTTCGCTTGGGCTTTGTCCCCTTGGCATATTGTCACGTCCTCGTTCTAATTTTGGATAGATTCCACGCGTGTGGAGGCCAATTCGAGGGGCAAAGGCGTCGTGAGCTAGAGATTTAGCCGGTTCGAGGTGAGTAATGATTGTAAATGATGTTTTGAGGGTTTGAAATCCCGGATTGCACATCGTAGTGCTATATTGAGGTGAGGCACACGCTGGATGACGAGCGTGGGGTGGAGCACTATTGGGGACTGTGACTTGGTCCGTCCCGATTGATGATTTTACCGCGTATTTTATTGAAATCTATTTGTTATTATCATTATTTGGGTTGCATGCCATGTTTGGGCTCCGTGCCAACTATCTGAACCCTTCGAGGATTTTTGTTGATATTTCCTCACTGTTTTGACTTTATACTTGAACTCTGTCATGTTATTTTCCAGTGTTTTCAAAACTCAGCCATGTTCACTCAGTTTTAATACTTAAATGATATTTAAATGATGTTTTGGGCGGAGAAACATTGTTTTACTGTTGCCCGAGAGGCATATGTGATTTTTGACTAAGTAAGGCCGAGGGCCTGTGTTGTGAGGATATCTTTTGGGTCGGGCTGCACGCCGCAGCGGTGATACATATCTTTTGGGTCGTGCTGCGCGCCGCAGCGGTGATACACTGATTTGATTATGAGGCCGAGGGCCTGAGATTTGTACGCCACGAGGTGGCTTGATATTCATATGCGGTCGAGGACCTGTTTATGATGCCACGAGATGGCTTGATATTGCGCTTGGGTCGTAAGGGGCCCCTCCAGGAGTCTGCACACCCCCAGTGAGCGCGGGTACCCAGTGTGATGTGAGATATAGCCCGAGGGGCTGATACTGTTCTATGTGATTTCCCGAGGGGCTGGTACTGTTCTGAGATATTGCCTATCATTTACTTGCTTCATTGTGCATTTGTGCCCGAGGGGCGGATTTCTGTGCTTACCTGCACTAGTTGTTCTGCATTCATTTGCGCAACTGTAGAAAAAGTCATTTTCAAAGGAGTTTAAACTGAGCTAAGATGTTTTAAAGGATTTTACAGCTTCATTGCTTTCTTACTGGATTTTGAAACTGCTTCTATACAGCATGTTGATTCTCTTTTCGTGATTTCTTATCACTTAGTCTTTATTTGTGATGATTACTCACTGAGTTGGCAGTACTCATTTTACTCCCTGCACCTTGTGTGCAGATTCAGGTATTTTCTGGACCCGGTAGTGGGTATTGATTGATCGGAGGCATAGTCGTCGGAGTTTAGCAAGGTAGTTGTCGGCATTCGCAGCACTGCTTTCTCTCTCTTCATTCTATTAGATTGTACTGAGTACATTTCAGACTTTGTCAGTTGTATTTAGTGTTAGTAGATGCTCATGACTAGTGACACCCCGGTATCGAGCTGAGTTGGGTTGTAATCCGCGTATTGTTTTGTATTGTCTTTGTTACTTCTGAGTTTATATCATGTTTTAGACGTAATGCTTATTAATTAATTGCTTAAAGACTGGATTGGAAATGTGTCGGCTGGCCTTGTCTTCACGAGAGGCGCCATCACGACCGGGTTGGGGTTTAGGGTCGTGACATGATTTCTCTATTGGAAGATCAAGATCACCTAGTTATCTATCTACTTTGTTGTTTGGGGTAAGGAGCTTGTTTGAGCTTGAAGTAAAGCTTAGTTGGACGAGTATTCTTATTGCCAAGGTAAGGTTTAACTTATCCTATTTGTATTTAAGATCATCTTTGTATATCTAGTTGATTTGATAAAGGGAACTTGTGAAGTAGGTTGAACATCATTTAGAAGTGTTGTAGTTGCTAAACTATTTTAGAGTTTAATTCCTGATGTTTTACGGTTGGAAATAAGTATAAATAACTTAAGAATACCATTGCTATTGTGGTTGATGTGTTTGGAAGAAGAGAAGGCTAGGAAAAGTGCAAGTTAGAACTTAGTTGTTGGGTGGGATCATGTGGACTGTTCTGGTGATGTATTGTAATGAATATAAGGTTATATTTGCTATATATATATTGTTTGTTGACATTCTGGACATGTTGGTCTTGTTGTTTGATTTGAGGAAAGTGAAAAGAATTTAGGGAGGTGCTGTCCAAAATTTCGTAGACGAGCTAGCCACTCATTTGTGTTGAGTTCCAGCTTCCGTAAGCTTAACAATGGTCCCTTGTTGTTTGTTGTAGATTGAAGTACTAACGGGCTGAACCGACATTGTGTGGTTAAGAAACAGACAAAGATGTGTTAAGGCTATCCCTTCTTTCCTTTTGGTATTCTCCATCTGATACAAACAAAACAAACAAGCACATAATTTTCATAAATGACTCTATTCATAGAAGTACTAGGGGTTCCTATGTTCTTGACTCCCCATGTGTCTAATTATTATATCCTCTGTTCTTGGGTCTAGTATAATACGTAGTTGATGAAGTTTATCCGAAGGCATATTGATCCTATGACATTCCGAGAGATCTTATTGACTTACTTCTTATGTATTGCATTATTTTATACATTTACATTGACCATGACCAGATGGTGTTATATACGCATATATTATTTGTATATGGGGTATGGGGAAAGGTTATGGCATTACATATGCACCACAACTTGATCAGCTAGTATACATTGCTAATTTCGCCCATTGTGGCTGAGATGATATGATGGGATGCCCTTAACGGCGTGATGCTGTTAGGTACGTATATACCTATGCATGGTATGACATTTATACAGATATGCATAACATAATAAATGTTTCATGATTCACAAAGCTATTCAGACTTACACGTTGAGTCTTTTACTCCATGTTTCTTTAATGTCTATTATATACTGCTTTTCATGCCTTACATACTCGGTACTTTATTTGTACTGACGTCCATTTTGCCCGGGGACGCTGCATTTCATGCACACATGTCCTGATAGACAGGTTGACAGTCCTCCTAGTAGGCTATCAGCTCAGCAGAAGGTGTTGGTACACTCCACTTTCTCCAGAGTTGCCTATTTGGTCAATGTGAATTGGACATGCATTATTTTGTATGGCGGGGCTCTGTCCCAACCTTTATGACGTTTATGTAATCTTAGAGTCTTGTAGACAGATTTCATGTATACGGATACTTGTATGACCTTGTCGGCCTATGTTTTAAGTATACAAATGACCATGTCGCCCTTATATGCCCGTATGTCACATGTATAAGTTTCTATATCATGTTGGGTCGTCCTATATCTAGTATTCCCATATGTTTTATCATGGTTAGCTCATGACGGCCATTTACCGATGATGGTATGATAAAAAAGATATGTTACGTTGGTACTCGGTTGAGTAAAGCACCAGGTGCCCGTCGCGGCCCTGCGGTTTAGCTCGTGACAAAAGTTGTATCAAAGCAGTTTTGTTCAAGGGAGTCTACAAGCAGTGTCTAGTAGAGTCTTGTTTATGGGTTTGTTGTACACCACACTTACAAGAAAGAGGCTACAGGACATTTAGGATTGTGACTCTTTCTTCTTACTCTTTATCGTGTGGTAGAGCTCAGTTGTAAGATTTCAAACTCCTCAATTCTATCTCATTTAAAATACAACGATGCCTACTGTTACACCCCGTAAGTATAACAATATTAATACCGTTATATATATTTGATACGGTATTTTAAGTGGAACATTTTTGTAAAGAAAAAAAATATGATTTTATGTAGTTATTAATATTACTACTTTCTAATATGTTTTAAATTATACAGATAATATGAGAAAAGTTTATGAGATTTTCTTCATTGTAAAGATATGAATTATTTTTTTCACAAGAAAAGAAGGTTATCTTTTTACCATTTTAAGAATTAAGTGTACGCAAATTTGTACTCTTTATATGAGATTAAGAAAATTATAAGTTGAAAAAATATATATATTTTTACATGCATGTTTTATTGAAATAATAGTGTATGAATTTATTTTATATGGTACCACATGACCGTAATAGTACGGTATGTAAAGTGTATTAAAAATAAGTCGAATTTTAAATAATTTGAGACAATTCTTAATTATGTTGATAAATATTTAAGTGAGATTTGAGGATAACTATAAGGGGTAACATCCACTTGGGATATTAGAAATTTGGCAGCAAATGCCTTAGGAAAATATGACTCCTATGTTTACTTAATGAGGTGGCATAGTTAGGAAGGTTATGTGGCCAAGTTATAATAGGAAATTGAGTGGATATAAAAAACAAAAGAAATAGCATAATTGGTAGGTATTATTCTGGGAATTGCAGTTGTTGTGGTGTTTCTGTTAGTTCGGTTTCTCATCTTTGTAGAAGAAAAAAATGAACGTAACACGGTGATCAGCACATCTTTCCGAAAGTTGTGCAACGTAATACACAACCCGGGATTCCCTCTGAATTCCTAGCAAATACCAGTAAGTTGATTATTTTACTTTTTATCAGTTTATATCTATACGAAGGAAAAGTTTGTCAACAAAAGCTAGACCGTGTCTTGCACTCATTATTCGAAACCTCAGGAATCATTTCTCAAGCGGCAAATCTAGGATCACAAGGAGCCTCATCGCACCGGGTTCGAGTGGTCAAGAATATCATATGGATTTTCCCCAACTTCGATCTGTCGTTACGTGTTTTATCACAAAAGATGGGTGTCAGGGGATTGTTAAGAAAATCGGCTCAGGTATGTTAAGTCTAGTCCTTCTTTCTATTGGCATGATTCAAATAACGATACGTACACGTAATGATATTCCATAAGTGGTTCTACTCTTAGCAGTTAAGGATGTATACGTTATTCATTTCCGTAAAGTGATATTCAAGCATGTCTAAGTATGTATCTAGTTTCATATTGAGGTATTTGATAAAGATGTTAATGTTTGTAATAAAGTAATACATGCATCTTCATGCATATGCATTTACCACCGAGCTACGGCCGGTCGGACAGTCATGCCTTTACCACCGTGCTACGGCCGGTTGGGCAGTTACGTGTTTATCACCTTGCTACGGCCGGTTCGGCAGTCATGCATCTTGATTTACCACCATGCTACGGCCGGTTGGGCAGACATGCATTTACCACCGGGCTACGGCCGGTCGGGCAGTTACCACCGATTGGGCAGTTAAATTTTATTTTTTACCACCGGTTGGGCAGCCATACATTTACCGCCGTGCGACGGCCGGTCCGGCAGTTACCACTGATTAGTTTGGCAGTTTTGCATCATAGGATATGGATAATAGTCTCAAAGAGAAGCATTGTTTATATATATATATATATATATATATATATATATATATATATATACATATATATATATATATGTATATATATATGAGTATGTTAAGTATGTAGATAAGGTGGCACTTCAGAGATTCAGGTTGATTCTTATATGTCGTTAATTAATATTGACTTACTATTTATATTTTAGTTCTGCCTTACATACTCAGTACATTATTCGTACTGACGTCCTTTTTTGGGGACGCTGCATTCATGCCTGCAGGTATAGACAATCAGCTTGACGAGCCCTTATAGTAGACGAGATTGGCATTCATCGAAGGACCGGTAAGACTCCACCTCATTCGGAGTGCAGCCGAATCTACGAGTCATCGTGTCAGAGTTTTGCTACAGACTTATGGATAGGCCGGTACCCTGTCATATTTGATGTCAAATAATCTTAGAGGCTTCGTAGACAGAGGTTCATTTTGTATAGTATGTCAGAGGCCTTAACGGCCCATATGTATTCATGTTTTAAGAAAAATTGTTCAGCGATACAGTGTTTTCCACTTATAATTGTACATTATGAGTTATGGCCATGTTGACCCATGATAGTTACAAAAGAAAAACAAATGAGTTACAGAGCGGTTCGCTCGGGCCAGTGCGGCACTGGGTGCCAGCCACGCCTCCTCAGGTTCGGGCGTGACACCTACATCTAGAATGACAGTTGGTAAGAGATTAAATGTGGCCACACCCATCTCAGTTATGCCATATGGGAGCTAACAGACATAGTTTAAGAAAAGGATGGGATATCAATATCCAGCTGGGGATAGAGTAACCCAAAATGGTTAATGGATTTTTAGCATTAGCTGAAATTTTCTAAGGATATTGCAAATGTCGGAATAGTTCTCCTTGTGAGACACCTCGATGGTGCACTCTAGAATAGTACATTTAGATATGAAATACTAGAATTCCAAGAAAAAACAATTAAGTAAATTGGCACTGGAATCCTAAAGGGAATAAATATTTACCTTTGTATGGCTCCCGCCTGTAGTACAAAGAGAATAGTAGGCGACCCGAAGAGCTAGTGAGATGAAGCAACGGGAGCTAAAAGTTAAAGAATGTTTTGTTGAAGTTTTCAGAATAAAGTAATATACAGAAATATTAGCAGGAGAATAAGAAGAAAGTAAATGAAGCATTATTAGTAAGAAGTGATAAATGAGTGATAACAGTAAATCAAAATATGACATGATGACAGAGTGTATAGTCAAGTTAAGGGAAAGACAAGAGGAGACGGGCCTTGAAAAAATAAAAGAGCATAAGCCATAAAGTCATATCCTCATATTCAAGAAATAAGTTGGTGACTTCAAAATTACCAGAAGGAAAAGATAGACCCCGGAGTAATAGAAACGACTATAGGCTAGTGAACAAGATAAACAGAACATAAGTTAGGGACATAAGGATTTGATAATAGTCGGAATCGTGAGAATTTTAGAGATCGCGTTCCAACAATATAGAATGGACAATGGAAAAATAACCTTTAAAGGTCATTCAAGAAGACGCTTCCCTAAAGCAAGCATTGTGAGTAGAGTTAAGCTTAACAGACTAAGTGTGCCAGTTACACTAGGTGTCACACTCATGAGTAAGAAATTGCATTATCCTTGGTACAGAAGGGTTACCACAAGGCGAGTAAGAGTCAGTGAATATGTGAAAAGACGCAAAAAATGAAGAGAGGGGGGAAGATGGTGTTATATGGTATTAAGCAAGAGTTATATGGTTCAGGTAACTGTGAAATAGTAAAGGAAGAATGCAGTAAAAATGAGAAATGGATGAGATTTCAGTTATTTAGATCCCACAGATAGGTTACGACTCCAGAACATTACGCAAACACGACGGCAGGGAGAGGTAGTAAGGGTTCCTGACCAGGATGATATTGATAAATAAGTGAGAATGAATACTTGATACATAAGGAGACGGTGCGAGAGGTAAGTTAAGTCAAAGGACATATCCTAAGAGAGATTACGCGGAATATAAATATCAGAATGGACCGACGAGTAGTTAGTAGTTGATTCAGGAAGAGCCTAATTATGGCTAGATGAGAGGATACACACAAATTAGCAGGTCGTGCAAGATACACATAGTGAAACCTAATATAGTGAATTCAGCCTTGCAGTTATGACATAATGATCCTTGAGAAATGTTATGATAGGAGTTGGGGTAGTTAAAGGTACTATATGAGCATTACGAAAATAAAAGAGAGTTCCACTGGGAAGACAGTCAAAATATCAGTTCAGAAGCAACTGTACAAGCACAAGGGCGTGGAGGTAAGTAAATAAGGATAATTAGAGGCGAGGAAAAAATCAAAAATTCCATCGATTATACGATGTAATAAGCTCGCAACTTTACAAGAGTCAGAGGGCCTTCCCTAAGTACTAGAATGGAAGACTAGAGTCACGACCCGGATTTCCCACCCTTGGGAGTCGTGATGGTGCTGACTAGTGAAAGCTAGGCAAGCCAACCAATTGAATTATTTACCTTGTTTCCATTTTAATCCGTTAACAATTAAGAACCAACATTTAATAAACAGCAGAATTTAATAAGCGGAAGATTGAATTCCAATGTTTTAATAATACTACCAATACCAATCCATAACAATACTACCCAAGACTGGTGTCACAATTTTACAGACTGTCCAGGGATACTACAAATAAAGGTATGAAAGATTAAAATGACAATGTCTCTAAAATACATGAAAGAAACAAAATGAAAAGATAGAAGGAGACGCCAAGGCCCGCGGACGACTGCAGGACTACCTCGGGTCGCCTGATGAACTGGAAACATGAACCTCACTGCAGTCCGAAAGCTACAGCACCGGGATCTGCACAAAAGACTGCAGAGTGTAGTCTCAGCACAACCGACCCCATGTGCTGGTAAGTGCCTAGTCTAACCTCGGCGAAGTACTGACGAGGCTAGGACCAGACTACCAAGTAAGCCTGTGCAATTGAATCATATACAGCGGAAAAATAAAAACAGAATTTTACAATTTAAAAGTAACAGGGGGAGGGAGACATGTTGCGGGGAAATCAAGTAACAACAGAAAACAAATAAATAACCGTGAAGAAACACCATAACTCAAATATCAACAATAATTAGAAAATCAAGACAAGTGCACGGCATCACCCTTCGTGCTTTTACTCTTGTCCTCACCAAATATCAATATAATCGGCACGACATCACCCTTCGTGCTTTTAACTCACATAATCATGGCACGGAATGATCCTTTATACATTATCACTTATATAAAGGCACGGAATAGTACATCGTGCGGCACGGCATCACCTTTCGTGCATTAACACTCTCTCACAAATATCATGTACGGCATCACCCTTCGTGCTTTAACACTCTCTCACCAAAACAATGTGCGGCATCACCCTTCATGCTTTAACACTCTTCCTCACCCAAACACCAATCACAAACAATAAGGGCAAGGAAGTAAATGAATGTCACAATAAAATCCCGACAAGGGAACAATAATACAACAATCATATCCCGGCAAGGGAAACAATAACAAAAGCAACAATATCCTGACAAGTGAGATAACATTAAAAGCAGCAACATCCCGGCAAGGGAGATAATATCATAATCCTCTTCTCTTTGTTTCACATTTACTTCACAACTTAATCCACAAGTTGAGCCAATGCTCTACAATGTCAATTGCCAACAATAACTCCACAATTCATTTCACAACTTGAGCCAACGCTCTTTGATGTTCAATTACCAAAATTACTTCAACAAGCCTTGTTCAACAATAAAAATATCACATAAGGCATGAACAATACAAAACGGAGTCATATTAATCATAGCATCAGACTCACGGGCATGCTTGACACCAACGTATAGATACTCGTCACCATGCCTATACGTCGTACTCAACAATTAACACATACCAAATAGGACACAACTCCTAATCCATCAAGCTAAGGTTAAACAAAACACTTACCTCGATGCCACGAACACAATTCAAGCCTCAACTACCACTTTACCTCTTGATTCCACTACCAAATTGCTTGTATCTAGCAACAAGTTACTTAACTATATCAATAAATGCTAAATGAATCATTTCTAATGCATGAAAATAGGTTTTCTGATGTTTTTCCCAAAAAGTCAAAAATCGACCCCGGGCCCACATGGTCAAAACCCGAGGTTCGAACCAAAATCCGATTACCCATTCACCCACGAACCCAAATATATAATTGGTTTTGGAATCCGACCTCAATTTGAGGTCTAAATCCCCAAATTTCAATATTCTTAGGTTTTACCCAAAATTCCCAATTCCACCATGAAAACCCTAGATTCTAGGATGAAATCTTGTAAAAAAAGGTAAGAAGTGAAAGAAATGAGTATAAAAGCAATTACATGTGTTTTGGGGAAAGAAAGAGTTCTTGAAAAATCGCCCTTTATGTTTTAGGTTTCTGAAAATGGTAAAATAACTGAAAAGTCCCGTTTATATACTCCTCTCAGACCCTCACCGCGGACCGCATAAAAAGGGGTTGCGGCCGCGAAGCTCCACGATGGACCGAAAGATATCGAGCGCGGTCGTGGAGGCTTGGCCTTGCTCTTCCGCGGACCGCATAAATCCCACCGTGGTCGCGGTTGCGAGAAACCATTGCGGACCGCGGAGCCTGGTTCAGAGATCAGCAACTTCTCTAAACCTGCAACAGCTATGTTATAAGTCTAAACTCATTTCGTGGCCTATCGAAAACTCACCCGAGCCCTCGGGGCTCCAAACCAAACATGCACGCGAGTCAAAAAACATCAAACAGACTTGCTCGTGCCATCAAATCATCAAAATAGCATAAACAACTATGAATTAAACCCCAATTTCATGAAATCATCCAAGAACACCAAAATTTCCAATTTCTCAACTTTAAGTCCGTTTTATACCAAACAATTCCGATATTTACCAAATTTTATAGATTCAACCAAATTATTATTTCAAACTTGTATCGGGCTCCGGAATCAAAATACGTGCACGGTACCATCAATTTCAAACATCTTTCATTTCCAAGAACCCTTATATATTCTAGAAAACAATTTTCTTTAAAAATTCATTTCTCGGGCTTGGGACCTCGGAATTCGATTCCGGGCATGCACCCAAGTCCCATATTTTCCTAGGGGCCCTCTGGGACCGTCAATCACGGGTCTGAGACTGTTTACCTGAAATGTTGACCGAAGTCAACCTAAATTCATTTTAAAAGCAAAATTTTATTATTTTTCACAGATTTTGACATAATGGCTTTCCAGATACACGTCCGGACTGCGCACGC